GGAATGCCTCTTTTTCTCTCTTATATTGTATGCAGTTTACCTGCCTAGGGTGGATGTAGCCTTTACAACACAATCCCAGCAGTACACAATGATCCAAACAAAAACCCTAGATTTAGTTGCCTCTGAAAAGCTTGGCTCCCTCCCTGACTGCATGAGTGTTTGGGGATACATCCAGACAGAAACCATAAATTGAATAGATGTGTACCCCGAGCTGAGCTTAAAACAAATCAAGGGATGATTACAGTGAAAATAACACTGACATGAGTTATAGAAGTATGTATCAGACTGGCAAAATCTGGCCCTGAGGAGAAACCCTAATGTCACCCTAAGACATAGCACAGAGGCCTCAGACTCTCCCTCCCTCTGGTACTTTTTGACTCTAGACCTGGTACTTTTTGTACTAGATCCTGTAGCATCACATGAGTATGTTTGTCATTCATTCCAGGGTGACTGTAACACCTCCCTGTTTGTTCCTGCCTTATGTGGTTGGCCTATTTGTCAAGTAGAACAAGGATATTCTTGTATATTTCTTAGGTATCACCACTCTCTTAAGATTTGATTTGTAAATGAATCTACATTCCATGGAATACACTGGGGTGTTCTATCTAAAATAAAAATGCATGATGAAAAAATATTCGTGTGAATAATAGCTAATGACAGCATCTGCTTTTGTCTCTATCTGGCATCAAAAAATAGAGTCTGATGTAATGAATTCTTGAATTAATTTTAAAAGATATGTACTTAGATGTTAGGAGATCTGTTCTGTATTTTCTATGAAGCTATGAGAAACTTCCATGTACAGTAAATAGTAGTGTATTTATTTTCAGTAGTAGAGAATATCCCATCACTCATTGTGCATTTTTAATCCATATAATAGAACTAACAAATTATATAGTTAATATCTATTATTTCTACATTTATTTTTGGAAAACATAAGTCAACTCAAATCTGTAAATTTTCAAGCTGGCGGATAATTATACAAACTAGTCCTATTAAGCACAGTTCAGATTTTTCACTGAGAGGAATCTAAATAGTGTTTTTAAACTTGTTAACATCATAACAAGACAAGATTGGTGCTTATGTCTTAGGATAAACATCTTTAATTACTTGCCAAAAAGTACCAATTTCTTTCCTTCACCCAAAGTACCTTATGGAAATATTGGAAATGTTTGAATAAAAGCGAATATGTTTTGCACACAGGATATTTCCTTAACACAAGTGTGACAGTTTCACTAGGTTTCGTCTGATTTTGACTGAAGCTAGAGATACATAATGTGTACTTTCTAGAATTCTACTTGTTTCAAAATATTTGTTGCTCAATCTAGGAAGAAATCTCCTTTTGGGGTTTGCAGCCATTGCTGATTCCCTATGGTCTTGTTTTGGAAGTCCTATATCATTTTCATTGGTTTGTTGGGTTGGGTTTTATTCTCTTTTGTTTTGTTGGATTATGTGAAATCCAAAGTCAGGAGCAACTGTGTAAAAGACAGCAAGATGTATCATAGTAACAATTTTAAATTCACTGTTGTCTTATTTTGAAGTCCTTCATTACACTTATTGCTTTGGTTTTATTGTTTCTGTTTTATTCTGTTATGTTTGATTTTTACTATGTTCAAAATTATCTGCGGCTATTCGGAACACATTGAAATGTTTTTTGATTACTATTGCTGATTTCTTAAAGTTTTGAAGTTCTTTATCTCTTACACTGTTTTGTTTTGATTGGTTTTATCCTATTTAAAAAATTGTCATTCAAAATTCCTTGGATTAAGAGTGCCTTCAGTTAAAACCACATAAAAACAGCAAGTGCCAGTTTTTCCACTTGAAATTTTTGCATTATCAATTACTTTTGTTAGGGTTGTACATTACGGTTTATGTCATATTTGTTTCTGGGATTTGATTCTGTATTTACTTAGACCCAAAAAATGATTTGCAGTCATATGAATGAATATCAGCACACTTCCACATGCCTCCTGTCTGTCTGTCTGTCTGTCTCTCCCCCACCCCGTTGCTTTGGGCTAGTCTAAGAATTTGCCTTTTCAAAATGTCTACAAGGGTGCATGCTTCCTGATCATTATTTTTCTCAGCCCCATATCTAAGTTTCAAAGCAAAATCCTTTCTTGGATTCCCAAATGTTTGAGAATGTTGGTTTAACAAAATAAAGAAACAGACATGCTGTTAACTCTTAAGCCTTCTTGTATCTTTCTATGATTTTTCTCTACCTCTACTTCTCCAAACCTCCAGAGATTCTCCAATTCTCCTTCTCTTCCTGTATAAAACTTAACCCCTTTGGGTAGATGGTCAAACTCAAACTCCTGGTTTCTTGCCATGTAGCAAATAGAGAGCATCACCATTCTCTCACACATCCAAGCTGACTTTGACTAAGTGGCCAGATACAGTGAAAAATCTACTTCTGCTTCTACCGAAACTGAAAACACAAAACCTTTTTACATCGCTTTGATCATTTCTCTGTAGTTTTATGTTTCACTTTGTTCTGTCTTGGACTCATTTTGTTGCTCTGACAGCTCACTCACGTTCATAGTGCTGGTTTGGCTGGACTGGAATTAACATTCACAACCCTGGGACTTACGACTGGTCATGACAGTCTTAGTTTTCACTCAGCTTTTGGAAAGTAGAGGAGGGAGACTTATGGCTTCACTAATAAAAGAAATTGGCAAAACATTGTAGGAAACTTTGTATTATGTTTACTGTCATAAAAAGTAGAAATATTTTTTTCAACTAATTTGTCTCTTTTCATTAGATTTCTGATATTTTGTTCACCACTTTGTGAAGTGATGTCTTTGGCATCATAATATCTGACATGAGAGTAGAATCTATTGATTATTGAGAAAAATACTACAATCCTCTTCTATTCAAATAAATTACATCCCTCTGTAAAAGAGCTATTATTTAATTAGTTCACCCTCAAATAAAAAAAAAAACCCTAAAACAGCAACACATCTTTTGTATATATAATATTTGGATCATATTAATTAAAAGCAATAAAAATATTTATGAAGCAATGTGAAAACAAACAGAAAGTCTATCATACAGAGTGCACATTAATATATGAACATAATACCAGTGAAGACAATTAATATCTTAGAATATCTAAGAATATCTAAGATATTTTCTAATATCTTAGAAGAAAACTATGACAGCAATCTCAACAAGGTTGCCCAAAATGTATATTTGGAAAAAAAAAAAAAGGTTTTTTTAATCAAATAATCCTGAGAAAACTGGATATTCATATGTAAATCTTATTTCTCTAGCCCTATGTAAAAATCAATTAAAGTGAAATGAATACCTAAATCAAGACTTGAAGGAATAAATTTTCTGTATGAAAAGGTAGGTGAAAATTCTTGAAGATATATGTGTAGGAAACGATTAATTGGAAGGAATACAAAGCACAGGTATCTAAAATAGCCATAAAAATGGAAATTCTATCATACCAAAAGTTTGTGAAAGAAACAATTATTAGGGAGAAGATCGAATCTATGGAATATGGAGCAGATCATGGTGGCATATGCTTATAATCTTAGATCCCTAGGACCTGAGCAACAGAAAAACAAGTTCACAGACAGCCTGAGTAACTGCTCCATCAACAAGAGATTGTTTCAAAAAATAATTAAGGATAAATAAAGGGTTGTAAATGTAGCTTAGCGTAAAGACCTGGGTTTAAAGTTCCATTTTCTGTAATAAAACCAAAACAAAAACAAAAATCCAAAACACAAAGAACCATAAAATTTTAAAAAATGAAAAAAAAAAATCAACCCTTTCCTGAATAACAAAATCCAGCTCAACTGAAATCAAAGGATTCTACCTGTACTTAGCCTCATGGTGCTTGAATTATCTTGTTTCTTTATCTTCCATCTTCTTGTTTCTTTCTTTCTTTTCATGTATTCATGGTGTGTTTGCTCCTTTCAATGTACTTGTAGAGGGATTAAAGATAGATTAATATGAAAATATTCATAATAGAATCCATGTAAACCCTGAAGTGTATATCATTAGCCATGAAGAAAATAGCAACAAAACATCCATAAAAATAATATTTAATATGGTGAAATTCTGTTAATACAGTATTTTATAATACTACTTTAATACTATTTTAACAATAGAGAGTCTTCCCCCATTTGGGTAATTTTCTAGAAATTGTTTGGTCTGAGAGTTCTGTATACTATGATGCCCCTCAACCAACTGCTATCTCTGTGCAGGTTTAATGTTATTTATTAAATTAGTTTACTAAAGTTATTCTAGGTTGGTTGGCCTCCATTAATTTAAAAAAATACAATTTTTATCAAAAAATTAAACTAGCATAAGTGACAAATTTTTGGTGTATTTTCAGTTGTCTGGGACTTTAATCTGTGTAATATTTACTGCATTTTCCCTGAGTCTTTTGGGCCTTGGTTGATTTTACAGTCAGAGTGGAAAATTCTAGTGAGTGTGTTGAAGTAGAAGACAAGACATGAAAACAGAAGACCAGAACCAGAAACCTGGGATGTGCCAACACAGACAATGATGAAATAGGAAGAGGGAGACACTGAGAAGGGGTAATGTGAAAGCAGAGAGCACAGAAAGAGGGAGGGAGAGATGGTCATTTGGGTGGATAAATGAAGAGCATAACCTCAGGAAAAGCAGGTTAGAGGCTGAGCAGGCATTTAGAACTCTTTGCTCACTTATACCAGTAAATAAAGGCTTATACAAGTGGAGGGAGCTTTCAAATCACATATGGCTTTTCTGAGCTTATATGAAGGAAGCTTAGGACAAGGAGAGAAACTAGGACTCAGGGAGAAACTATGGCTCAGGGCCATAGGGAAAATGAAAGATGAAGTAGGAGAACGTGGAGAATGGGAGGAAAATGATTCACTGGCATAAAATTTCTATGAGGAAGAGATTGTCAGTTGGAAGACAGAGGAAGCCACTACTACAGAGTACAGTGCAAAAAGAGTTGCTAAACTCAGAGATCAAACACAAGCTGAGGAACTGAAGTCCTTTCTCTCAGTGAAATGCTACTCCTGGTGCTGGCATTGCTTGCGGTTCTCTTCCCAGCTGGTGACACTCAGAATGGTAAGAGGAACTCTGGCAACAGATGGCCCCGGTGCACGAGATCTGGATAAAGACAGTCTGTGCTTACCCAGGTGCATTGATGATCTGAGTCCTAGTGTCTCCAGACATCTTTCACCATTCTGGAGCTAGACCCTGAGGCTGTGAGCCTCCACATAGGTCAGATCTCATGTTTTCTACAGATTCTGAGTTTTGTTCTCTTTCCCTCTTGCTCTTTCTTCCTTTTCACCAATTTAATGCTTCCTTTTCCCACAGTCTTTCCAGGGCCAGTTTCCCTCCATGCCATCCAAATCTCATCATTTTTCAACAGTACCTGGGCACAAAATGAAGGCTCAGGCTGGTTGGGAGATGTGCAGATTGATGGTTGGAATAGTGACTCAGGCACTATCATATTCCGGAAAACCTGGTCTAAAGGCAACTTCAGCAATGATGAGGTTTTGGAGTTGGAAGAGATATTTCAAGTCTACTTCTTAGGATTCATCAGAGAAATCCAGGAACTTGTCAGTGATTTCCAGATGGAATGTGAGCCCATTTCTAAAACTGAAAAGCTAGGCTTTCTCATGTTCTGTCCTCTCTTGCTTCAGATCATGGCCACCTCTTGTCCTTCCACCTCCTTCTACTTTCTCCCAGCTGCTCTTTCAAAATCAGTCTGTTTGCACTTTACTTTCCCACACTGCATCTTTGTGACCTAAAGTATGGCTTCATTCTATTATGAATCCTTTGCAACTTCTCCTCTTTAAGCTTTCCTTGCCAGGTCATCTGGTGCTTCCTTCTGGAATGCTGTCCTTGCGACAGCCTTGTACTTGCCTATTCTTCAGCCTCTCTTCTCCCTTCTTACCTCTATATGCTTTGTACATTGCACTTTCTCTTCATGACATGCATACTACTCTATAGTATGATTCTATGAGGTTTTCTATGTGGTGCAATGATTTCAACTTGGCCCACCACTCTTTTTTTGCTTTTTGTTAATAGCATCTCTCTGTTTTCCTTTTCCACAGACCCCTTTGAGATCCAGGTCATCGCAGGCTGTGAGTTGCATAATAGAGGAGCCATTGATTATTTCCTGAGGGGAGCTTTAGAGGGACTGGATTTCCTGAGCATCAAGAATTATTCATGTTGGCCTGCCCCAGAAGGTGGTTCCAGAGCACAAAAATTCTGTACATTACTATTAAAGTACAAAGGAATCTGTGATACTGTGGAAAGTCTCCTCACAAAAACTTGTCCCAGATATCTGATGAGTGTCCTAGAAGCAGGGAAGGCAGATCTGCAGAAGCAAAGTTAGTGTTGTTCTATTTCACTTCCATCACTTGTTTAAATTAAGTGGGAAAGTACTAGAAGGGATTTCTCAGTAACTGAACTCACTCTAAAAGTGTAGAAGAAACAAGGTTCAAAGTTTCAAAGTTGTACGTTTCTGAGCCACATGTTCTAGTCTAGAGCTTTACCGTAACACTCTCCTTGCCCATTCCTTTCCCAGTGAAGCCTGAGGCCTGGCTGTCCCAGGGACCCAGCCCTGGGCCTGGCCATCTTCACCTGGTGTGTCATGTCTCTGGCTTCTACCCAAAGCCTGTATGGGTGATGTGGATGCGAGTTGAGCAGGAGCTGCCTGAAACTCAGAGAGGGGACGTCCTTCCCAATGCCGATGACACATGGTATCACCGAGTGACCCTGGATGTTGCAGCTGAGGAGGCTGCTGGGCTGTGTTGCCGAGTGAAGCACAGCAGCCTGGGAGAGCAGGACATCATCCTCCACTGGGGTGAGAAAAGATGGGGCTCATGCTGGAAGTGGAGGAGATGCTACGAGGGTTTAATGAAGCAAAGAAGTGAGGGAGTGATACTGAGAAGCGGAAAGGTTTAGTAGTGGGAAGGAGAGGTGGGCAAGGAGGAAACAGTTTTAGAGAATGAAGCATACATATGACGACAAAGGAAAAAGTGGTGTCCTGTGTGTTCATGATTTGATATGACATTCTCTGGCCTCTATCTCACCTGCCAGGACACTCCATCTCCATTGGCTGGATCATTTTGGCAGTACTAGTGACTTGCTTGATTGTTTTGGTGTTATTTGTATTGTGGTTTTTTAGGCGCTGGTAAGTTTTAATTTTTGTAATAATTTTTTTCCATACAGTTTGCTATCTTTTCTGCCTTTTACCTAATAACAGGACATTTGCCTTCATCTTTCCTCAGGTGTTCACCTGTTATCTTTAATCCTTTGTGTAAATCACATTCATGAAATCTCCATAAAATACACATCGTTAAAATTTTTACCAGTTGTTCCTGTTAAATACATTCATACATTTTTGCAAACATTTTCATCTTCCAACTCCAGTTGCTTTCATCTTGCAAAGCAGAAGCTGCTTTCTTTTTAACAGTTCCTAATCCTTGTTCTTTTATAGAGCTTGATGACAATCATTCTACTTCCCACTTCTGTGAATTTCAGTACTCCTGCTGTTCAAATAGGAGTATCACACAACATTTTTGTTTTCTTGCCTGGTTTCTTTCACTTAGTGATATGTTTTCAAGGTTCACACATTTTGTAGTGTATGTGAGAATTTCCCTTCTCCCTATAATTTTCCATTGCACGTACACACACTATATATCATGTATCCATTGATTCATTTTTGGACATTTTGGCAGATTCTATTGCACAATGCTTCTCTGAATATAAATTTACCAATACATTTTACTTTGAGGTATTTATTTATATATTTTGGCTTTTTCTCTTTACAGGTCATATCAGGATATCTTGTGATGTCTCACTGTGTCATTTCTAGGAGTTTGAATTAGTTTCCAGGATGTCTGGAATCTTGGATCAGCAGTTCAAGAGTCAATGCTCTTACATTACATCAGAAACCCACTGTTTTTGATTATGTCAAAGATGAATTTATTGTAAACTGCATCACAGAGTATGTCAACTAAAGAAACATATTATTATATGTTGAGATTTTTGTCAAAGAAAAACAATTCCAGATTTAATCCCTTATCAGGATATGTGTTTGGTATTTCTTGGATGTGACAATGTGCATTATATCTTTTATTCTACTTATTTGGTGAATTACATTTATTTTGTAAATGGGAAAGTAAAATTATGTTTGTGACTAATGTGTCTTTTTCATAATTTATGTATGTGCATTCAATCTGAGACTATTTTGTTTAGAGTTATTTTTCTTTCTTAATTTTGAGCACAGTCATGCCAGATGTTGGTAATAAGGATACTTTGACTTCATAAAAATTTTTAAACATTATTTTCAGATTATTGGGCAGGCTTTGTAAGTGTGTGTATTTTTTGGTTAAAGTTATTCCAGGTTCAGTGGCCTCCATTTATTAGAATAAAGACACAATTATGTCAAAAAGTAAATAAGAGATACATTTTTACACATACTTTGAGTTGCTCAGGATATTAATCTACATGATATCTACTACATTTTCCCCCAGACTTAGGTATGTTGGCTTATTTTATAGTCACAGAGAAAAACTCTAGTGTGTTTTGAAGTAGAAGTCAAAATATGAAAATGGAAAAACTGACACAGAAATCTGGGACGTGCCACCTAAACAATGATGAAACAGAAAGAGCAAGACAAAGAACACTGGGCACGGGTAATGTGACAGTGGAGAGCACAGGAAAAATGAGGGAGAGATGCTCATTTGGGTGGATTAACAAGGAATATATTCCCAGGAAGAAGCAGGACAGAGGTGGAACAGACATTTAGAATTCTTTGCTTATCTAGATCTGTAAATAACAGCTTGTGCAAGTGGAGAGATCTTTTAATCCATAAAAAGCATTTTGGAGCTCATAGGAACAAGGTTGAGGACAGCAAGAGAAACTAGGACTCAGAGACAAGAGTCAGTCTGCAATTCAGAGCCATAGGGAAAATGAAAGATGGAGTAGGAGAACCTACAGAATGGTAGGCAAATTATTCATTGTTACAAAACTTCTATGAGGAAGAGATTGTCAGCTGGAAGAGACAGGAAGTTAGTACTACTCTCAGAGAACAAACACAAGCTGAGGTAAAGGAGACTTCTCTCAGAGAAATGCTGCTCCTGGCACTGGCATTGCTTACAGTTCTCTTCCCAGCTGGTGACACTCAGTATGGTAAGAGGAACTGTGGCAGCTGCTGAATATGGGGCACAGGACCTGTAGAAAGGCAGGCTGTGGTTACCCAGGTGCACTGATGATATGAGTCCTAGTGTCTCCATGCCTCTTCCACCATTCTGGAGGTCTCATTGGAGCCTGAGAGGCTCTGGTCCTCTCAGATGGGTCAGATCTCATTTTTTCCACAGATTCTGAGTTTTGTTCTTTTTCCCTCTTGCTTTCTTCCTTTTCGCTATCTTATACTTCCTTCTTTTACAGCACTGCAGGGGCCAATTTCTGTGCATGTCATCCAAATCTCATCATTTTTCAATTGTACTGTGGCACAAAATCGAGTCTTGGGCTGGTTGGGAGATATGCAGACTGCTAGCTGGGACAGCGATACAGACACTATCATATTTCAGAACCGCTGGTCTAAAGGCAACTTCAGCAATAAAGAGATTTTGGAGTTGGAGGAGCTATTTCAAGTCTACTTGTTCGGATTCATCACTGAAGTTCAGGAACGTATAAGTGATTTCCAGATGGAATGTGAGCCCATTTCTAAGATTGAGTGGCAGGAGATTTTCAAGTGCTCTATCCTCTCTTGCCTCAGTCCATGGCCAACTCTCATCCTTCCATCTTCTCCCAACTGCTCTTTCTAGAGAAGTCTCCTCTCATGCTCCATACTCCACATGGTCTTCCTGAATTTGCTGCTTCTGCACTCATCTCTGACTAAGGGCATCACTTTGTGACCAATCCCGGGATTATCATATGTGAACTTGCACCTTACTTTCCCACACTGTGCTCTGTGATCTAAAGTGTGCCTTCCTTCTCTCATTCATTGTTTTCAGCTTCTCTTTCTTGAGCTTTCGTCTCCAGATTACCTGGTGGTTCCTTCTGGAATGTTGTACTTATGACTCCTTTGTACCTTCTTTACATTCTGCCTCTCTTCTCTCATCTTATCTCTCTATACATTTCACTCTCCCTTCATGATATGTATACTACTTTCTGATGTGATTTTCTGAGGCTTTCAAAGTGCTGCAAGTATTTTAGTTTTGTCCATTCCCCCCCCCCTCCTTTTTTTTTTTTTAGTGTTAATAACACCTCTCTGTTTTACTTTTCCACAGATTCATTTGAGATTCAGGGCATCACAGGCTGTGAGCTGAATTCGGAGGAACCACTGAATACTTTCTGAGGGGAGCTCTAGTGGGACTGGATTTCTTGAGTATTAAGAATCATTCATGTTGGTCTGCCCCAGAAGGTGGCACCAGGGCTCAGGAATTCTGTTCATTAATATTACAGTGCAAAGGAATCTGTGATGTTGTGAGATATCTCCTCACAAAAACTTGTCCCAGATATTTGACAGGTGTCATAGAAGCAGGAAAAGCAGATCTGCAGAAGAAAGGTTAATGTTTTTCTGTTTCACTTTCATCGCTTTCCTTCATTCTAAGTGGGTAGAAGGGCTTAACCAATAACTGGACTCACTCTAAAAATGTAAAGAAACAAGGTCCAAAGCTGTCGGTTTTGAAGGTAGGTGTTCTGGGCTTGAGCTGTAACATGACATTCTGCTTGCCCATTCCTGTCCCAGTGAAACCTGAGGGCTGGCTGTCCCAGGGCTGTCCCAGCACTGGACCTGGCCTTCCGCAGCTGTGTGCCACATCTCTGGCTTCTACCCAAAGCCTGTGTGGGTGATGTGGATGCGGGGTGAGCAGGAGCTGCCTGAAACTCAGAGAGGGAACATACTGCCCAATGCTGATGACACATGGTATCTCCGAGTGACCCTGGATGTAGCAGCTGAGGAGGCCACTGGGCTGTCTTGCCAAGTGAAGCACAGCAGCCTGGGAGGGCAGGACATTGTCCTCCCCTGGGGTGAGAAAGGATGGGGCTCATGCTGCAAATTATGAGAGACTGTACCAGGCCTAAATGAAGCAAAGAAGTGAGGGGATGATACTGAGAAGCAGAGAGTTTTAGTCATGGGAAGGAGAGGTGGGCGAGGAGAAAAGGTTTTAGAGAATGAAGGACGATGAGGACTAAGGAAGGAGTGGGGTCATGTGTGTTCATGATTTGATATGACATTCTCTGGCCTCTTTCTCACCCAACAGGACACCCCATCTCCACTGCCTGGATCATTTTGGCAGTACTAGTGCCTTGTTTGATTGTTTTGGGGTTATTTGCATTATGGTTTTATAGGCGCTGGTAAGTTTTTATTTTTGTAATAATTTTTTCCATGCAGCTTATTATCTTTTCTGCCTTTTACCTAAAAATAGGACATTTGCCTTTATCTTTCCCCAGGTCTTCACTGTTATCTTTATTCTCTTGTGTAAGGCAGTTCATGAAATCTTGATAAAAACACACGTTTAAAATTTTTACCAGTTTTTTTTGTCAATTAGATTTATATATTTTTGCAACCATTACCGCTTTCCATCTCTAGTACCTTCCTCTTGCAAAGCAGAAACGGCTTTCCCTTTTAACAACTCATTCTTATCCTTGTTTAGGGCCTGATAATCATTCTGCTCACTCACTCTGTGATTTTCACTATTTCATGTTCCTCAAATAACAGTATCACATAATGTTTTTTTTTTTTTTTTTTTTTTTCTTGCCTGGGTCTTTCACTTAGTGATATGTCCTCAAGGTTCATAGATTTGGTACCATATGTGATTATTTCCCTTCCACATATAGTTTTCTATTTTATGAACACACAGCACCTTTCATGTATTCATCGATTCATTTGTGGACGCTTTGCCTGATTCTATTACATAATGCTTCTCTGAAAGTTGATTTACCAATACCTCTTATTTTGAGGTATTTATTTCTATATTTTGTTTGTTTTTTCTTTTTATAGGTCATATGAAGATATCTTGTGATGTCTCATTTCTAGGAGTTTGAGTTAGTTCCAGGATGTCTAGAAACTTAGATCATCAATCCAGGAGTCAATGCTCTTGCATTACACCAGATATCCACTATTTTTGATCACATCAGTGAATGAATTTATTGTAAACTGTATAGCAATGTATGTCAACAAAAGAAAGACATATTATTATATTTTGAGATTTTTATCAATAAAAAACCTGTGCCCAGATTTTATTCTTTATTAGGATACATGTTTGGTATTTCTTGGGAGGTTGCAATCTGTTTTATATCTATTATTCCATGAATTTGATGAATTTATTTATTTCCAAATGCAAAAACAAATTATGTGTTTGTGAGTAATAGGTCTTTTTCATAATTTATGTATGTGAATTCAATCTGTGACTATTTTTTAGAAGTATATAACTGCCTTCATTTAATTCTAAGTACATCCTTGTCAGATATGGATGTTAAGGTTTCTCTGACTTCATAAAAGAATTTTAAAACATTATTTTGTTTTTTATTTTCAGATTGTGGGGTAGACTTTCTAGGTTTGTGTATTTCTTTTGTGAGTAATTTTACAGCATTACACTTGAATTTCTACGTATTGGAAAACATTGGTATTAGTACAAATGTTTTGGAATTTTTTTCAGTTATTAAAACCAATATGCTACTATTTGGATTGTATTTTCAGGGATGTGTGTGGGTGTATGTGAGTGTGTGTGTGTGTGTGTGTGTGTGTGCGCGCGCACACGCGCGCACATTGGTAAATTAAGCTTTTCAACTATATTGTGGACTTTCCAATTTTTTTCAAAAGCTTGTTTATATTTCCTCTATATCAGTGCCTATAGGGTTTATCCTTATTTACTGTAATATCTATATTAACATTTTTTTGGTTCTCTTTTGTGCTCTTTTTCTTTCTTATCTTGAGACTTTTTCATAACAGCTAAGGTTCTGAAACTAATTTTTGGCCTTTTCTGCGTTCATAGCATTTTTTTATTTTAAAGAGAAAGAAATAAAATAAAAATTTAGAACATGGTAATTGGGGGTACCAATGTTATATACAATGCATGTTGTTATCTTCAAATCATTTACTCAGAGTACAGGACAATATGCAATTTATTGTCCAAACAATTCTCTCTGAGCTCAATGAAGAGTAATGTTTGTGCTAGTGTTGTGCAGATCATAGCATTTTTTTCTTCTTCTTTGTTTGTGTTTTAATTGCTTTCATATTACTATTTATGCCATAGTGTTTACATTTGGGTTCTGAAGCCAACATTTTCTTTAAGCATGGCTGAGACTGCAAATCAGAGAGCTTTATATGGTGCCTAATCTGTGCTCATTCAACATGTTTTTCTTCCTTCCTTCCTTCCTTCCTTCTTTCCTTCCTTCCTTCCTTCCTTCCTTCCTTCCTTCCTTCCTTCCTTCCTTTTTTCCTTCCTTCCTTCCTTCTTCCTTTCTTTCTATTTTTCTTTCTTTCTTTTTTAAAGTGTGCAAAAATAATTTTCCTTAGTACATGTTTACAAAGCTTAATTGATGCACTCATCATGGGGTTTGAATACAGGGATCGTTCATTTCTACTTCAACTTCCCTGTTCATCTGCAGTCCTAGATCTTTTCCTATCTCCAGACGTCTACCTTTATATTGACTATCATATATTTTTATTTCAACTTACACTTATTATGGGTTTGTCATAGAACAGAAACCATGAAATATTATTAATTTCACTTAGAATCATAGTCACAAAGTATATGCATTTTCTTACACATGATTCAAATTTATCCTTTTTAATGGTTAAATAATACTCCACTATATATATATATATATATATATAATATTTTTTTTTACTCGTTTATCAGTTGCTTCCAACATTTAGCTGTCATGAGTTGTGCTGTGACAAATATGAGTGTCCATATATCTCTGTAGTGTGGTATCTTTAACTTTTTGGAGTGGTATCCAGAAGATGTACACCTGGATCAAATGGAATTTGTATTTTTAATTTACTAAGAATTTTGGTACTGATTTGGGTATTGGTTGTACTGCTTCAGATTTTTACCAATGATGTAGAAGAAGTTTTCCCATTGTATCACCACCATTTGTTATATTTAAAGCTCTTAATGATGGTCATTATTTCTACAGTAAAATAAAGTCTCAGCTTTTTTATTTTGCATTTCTCTAATAACCAAAATTTAAGAACTTTTCATTTTCATTTTTTGATCACTGTACTTCATTTTTGGAAGAATGTCTATTCATCTCACTTGCCAGTTTACTTTGTGGGTTTTGATTCTTTTATTTCCTTGTGTACACTATTTTTCAAGGATTAGTTGGTAATTTTTTTCCTGTTTTATAGATTTTCTCTTCACCCTGTTGTTTTCTTTGATGTGGGGACACTCTTTAAATTTAAAATAATCACATTTGTTGCTGTGGATATTTCTTGTGACACTAGGGTAAGATTCAGAAACTCTTTGCTTATGTCTGTCTATACCTTCAAGAATTTTACATTTCATCTTCCACTAGATTCAGTGCTGATCCCTGGATACTGGTCTTTAATCCATTTAGATACAGTGTAGTTCAGGGGAAGAGATACCTGTCTAGACTCACACCTCTCAACATGGATAAATAGTTTTCCTAAGAAATTTTATTAAAGAGGTATCTTTTCTCCCTCAAATTTTTGGCCTTTTTGTTGAGCATCAGATAGTTAAGTATCTTGAGATGTTTCTAAAATGCCAGTTGTATTCCTAGGACTTATTTTTATCTGTTTTGTGTCAGTAAAATTCTGCTTATATAACTGTAGGTTTATAATGTAACTTTATACTTGATTATAATGCTTTCTGCTTTGCTTTATTTTAATTTTAAAACAAACAAAAAAGTAAAAATGATAATACAAGATTTCAAAAACGAATAATGGGGGATCCAAATATTTAATATGCTTCATATTGTTGTATTCAAACTAGTAGTTCAGCTTACTACACATATGCATAAAATGATTAAACAATTAAAGTACAAACTTCTTTTTGTTGAGCTAACAGCTTAGTAGTGTAATTATCTGTCATATATATATACAAACATATATAATTTTTTCCATTCTTTTGTTTTTCCTTTCCCCAACCCAGTTTTTCCTTCCTTTTTAAACATTTCCTCCACTTTTGATTTCACAAAATCCATACTAAATTTTGGATCTCACTAACATCTTCAGTTTTGTATACTAGAGAGACAACAGAATGTTGTCTCCAGCCCTATCATGATGTTCACTCATGCAAGTCCAAACTATTTCACTCACGAGCATGATCTCAAGTTGCATCCATTTACCTTCAAAAGCCTTGAGATTATCTTTCTTTACATCTGAGTTGCACTCCACGGTATAAAAATCTCTTATCTTTCCTCTTCTGTCTGTGTTTTCTGGGCAAAATAGACCTACTATTTTCTGGTTTCTTGGCACATGGAGCATTATTTTCTTACCTTTGACTTTAATTTTATAATTACCTTTCAAGTTAAATGTGGACATTTAAGGACATTGTTTCTTGTTCCACCCAGGCAGTGCATGTTTTTATTGGTGAATTGAGGCCAACTACATTAATGATACAACTGGCAAGCCTTTTTTTTTCCTTTTATTTTTTCTTTTCTTTTCTTTCTTTCTTTTTTTTTTTCTTTTTTTTTTTTTTTTTGGTACTGGGGATCAAACTCATGATCATGTTCTTGCCAGGTAGATGCTTATGCCGCTGAGCTAAATCGCCAGCCCAACTGTCACGCTTTTTCTCATCTCTGCAACACTCCCTTCATGCCATTGGTCCCCCACTATTGCCCTGTATTCAATTGCCTGCCCTGCTCAGTGATCCCCCTTTGATGCTGTTCCTAGAACACTTCTCATTTTATTGCTCTGTAGAATTTATTTCAAAACTCTTTATAGGGTAGACTTAGTGGTCATGAACTGCTGTTGTTCTTTGTGGGAAAGTATCTTATTTCTTCCTAATTTTAGAGGAAAAGCTTTCAGTTTTGGACCAGTTAGTGTGATGTTGACAAGGAGTTTGTAAGAAATGACTCTTATCCGTTTGAATTAAGGTCTCTGTGTACCTATTTTCATCAGGGTTTTGATCATCTATGGTTGACTTTTGTCAGAAGTTCATCTTGTCTATTGAGATAATTAGATAGCTTTTATCCTTGTTTATTTAGAGCTTTATGTTTATTGCTTATGTGCATCAGATAATCATTGAACTCCTGAATGAAGCTGACTTATTCATACTGTGGGATGCTTTTAGTAATTTGTTGCACTTCGTTTATCAGGATCTTGTTGCAGATTTTTGTATCTATATTCATAAAGGAAATTGACTTACATATTTCATTTTGATTATGGGTCTGCCTGGTTTTAATTTTTTTTTTTTTTAACCAGGATGAAGTTAGCTTCTAGGAATGCATTTCATAGATTTCATGTCTTTTGGATTTTATTTAAGAGATTGAGGAATATTTGAGTAAGATCTTCCCTATAATTCTGTTAGAAGTCTGTAGTGCATATATTGTCAGGGATGTTTCTTTGTTACTACTGCTTCTATTTCGTTGCCTTTCTAGGATCTAGATAGAGATTTTAAAAATATAATTTTGCTTGGGTTCTGCCAGTATCTGATGTGGGAAGACTGCTTTGCATGGAACTCAGCAGAGTTTAGCAGCCCACTGGCACATTCCAGCTCCTAGCTTGTTGGTCTTAGAGGCAGGTGGAATGAATTTCCTATGAGTACTGAGCTCCGTCATGTCTGGAAATGAGAGTTCGCAGAGAAATCAGAGCCTTGTCATGTGTCTTGTGTGGGTGGAAATGTGGCCTCTTTAGCTCTCCTTCTATATTTCTCTGCTACCCCTGGTTCACTTAGTTACAGCTGATCTCTTCCCCTGCCTGTGTCTTCCTTCTCAGGCCCTATACAGAGCCACACAACTATTGTTTTCTGCCCTAACGATAAATTTATCCTGATGTAATTTTTGCCCCCTCATTGATTTTCCCTGTTCCTTTAAATGCTCTAATTTGAGTGGTCTCTCTCCTCTGAGTACCTCAGATACTGGACCTCATTTCTTAATGGCATGGGAGCTGTGGGTGGTGAGTGCTTAGATTTACAGAGATCACAGCTGCCTGCTTGACTGACTGACCACTGCTGGCCTTGTGTTACTCTCCTGTGATCTGTCTTGGCATCCAGT